ATACAAATTTTTTAAGTAAATGCAAAATGCTAAAATTGCTTCTGACTGGTTTAAAGATCGTCCATTGACACCATCAAAAACCATTGATTATTGGACGAGATACGATATTCGTCATAAAGGCGCACCTCACTTAAAATCTCAAGCACTTAATTTGAAATACTATCAATATTTTTTACTGGACATCATTGCTGTTGTCATATCAGTTGTGCTATTAGTTTTTTACATTATATATAAAACATTTATATGTATAAAAAAACGATATTTAAATCATCGATAAAATCAAAATCAAAATCTGAATAAACTTTTGTTTAAAAATGTTTTTGTTATAACGAATAAAAACAATGCATGCATACATTATTTTGTACAATAAGTTATTCAGATAACACACTGTTTATATTAATATCTATATTAATTTACATTAATAAGTTACTCAGTTATTTTTACATACATTTTAATTTCAAATTTTGACAAAATTACATACTAAACCCAAGAAAAACGTTTTTAGTTATTATTTTGTAATTTAAAAATATTATTCGTGGGTATATGAAACTTTTAGAGTATATTATTATAATGTGTTAAATACAGTAGGTACACACAATAGCATTTTCAAATATAATTTTTTTTTCAAAAATAAAATTCGAAAGAGTTTACTCGCATTTCTTATAGGTACGTGCAGATGTTTTATCCAACATTTATAATCCACCACATGACATGATATAAACTCAATTTAGTCAGTTTAGCCGACTACAGAATTTTGTCTAATATTGACTTTCATCAGAATTAACTAATGTTCTTCAACTTCTCTCCGACAAAATGTATTGCCCATTAATACTTTCCAAACTTAATTTTAATATTCCATCTTGGATTACTCGTTCAACAAAATTATTTCACTTCCTTATTTGCTCTATTAATTACGAACTTAATGAACCTATATACCATCTTATGTATATTGCCAATATCAATTTTTCTTCCTTTTGTTTTCTAAACTTTTTTCTTCTGTATTTAGTTTAACCTTTTATACTGACTTACATGCATTGTCTTTATTTTTTTAGCAAAGTTGTTTATTATCGAACATGTAATAATATCTGTTGAATCAATGGCGGAAGCCTGTTTTTCTAAAATATAAATAAATTAATACACTTATACCTAACTTATTTATTTATTAGTTAGTGTTAGAGTTAAATTGCGTGTAGAATCGTTTATATGCAATAAAGTCTTGCAAGTTTGGTGACGGTATTAATTTTCAAACTTTTATGTAGAATTTGGTTAGTCACGTACTAACATACCAGGGGCACCAGTAATAATAAGTAAAGTTGTATTTTAAAATGATTAGATAAGGATAATGTTTGAGTATACAGCCGACCTCCAGATTTGTATTCGTACAATTTACTATTATTTACATTTTCGATTCTGCTCCGAGTGATGGATGTGGTATAATATCTGTTTGTTATTATTAATATATTTATTGTTTGTGTCAGCACTCAGCATACGTTTTATACAGTGCTCGAGTTGGGACAAATTAAGTAGAGGAGCTCAATCAAACTATTTAAAAACTGCGTCCCAAGGGCGCAATTACTCAACACAGACTGACGAGGGGAATCATTCGTTTAATAATAAACTAATATTGACATTTTTGAAATATTTGAACTACGAAATAATAAATAATTATTATTAATTAAACAGAAATGAAATTATGAAAAACAAAATTATGTTTATATTACCTATAGAATTTTAACTTTGAAGACAATTAATCCATATAAGCATAATATTATTCAAGTAAACTTTCATAGGTAAATCGTAAATGTCCAATCTTCATAATTGTTTTATATTTATATAATATATAGGACATAGGTATAAGTAGACCGTAGACGTATAGTATTATAAATAATACATATTTTTGCGTGCAACATTTTCATGATCACTGAATCGCTGCAGGGTCGGATACTCAGATGAGCGGGGCCCTCGTGGCCTCGCCTGAGCGCATTGTTTTTAAGGAGAAATATAAAACCTAACTTAACTTGCAGTAGCGTAATTAATCAAAAAAAAAACTTCCTATACTTATTACTTGACACTAATTGTACTATTATATAGTGTCCTGCTATCACTATAATAGGCAATCGTCTGTGCCCTGTAATGAAAAAATATCGATACCTAAATACTTTACGGGGTCCTTACTCCCTATATAGACGAGGCACACCCCAAGCAAAGAAAACAATGTGAGAGGCCCGGCCTGACACTGAGTGACACTAAGTTACCCTGGTAGGCAATACGACTGGTACGTCGGATCGAGGACAATGTGCGACAAAATATCAAGTAGGCAATCCACCGGCTATAATTTCAACTCAGCCACCTTGGCAGGCAATGTGCGAACATTTGATATGATGTATGCTATTATATTTTATCTGCCAGAACAACCAATGCAACAATAATAAATAAATACCATTATTATATTATTTAATACTTTATTTCTCCTATAACCAATAGCAACCATTTATAAACAAAAATATCCATCGTAAATATCAAAAACCCTGTTTGAGCACATCCCTGGGTAGGGCACTATAGATACAGGTATGATACGGCCGCCATTTTGTGATTAATAATCTTATGTTAATATGAATTTCTCCCCCTTTATTTTACAATTTTATCATTGATAAATGAGTCGCAAAATGGTGGCATAGCATACCCATTATATTTAGAGCTTCACCCTGGGTTGGGCCTACTGGGTTCAAAATTGTGAATCCAAGCCATTCAAGGACCCACTCCAGCACACACAAAAAATGTCATCAAAATCAGTGCAGCCGTTTAGGAGGAGTTTAAATACTTACATGGAAAGAAATATATATACCTATTAAGATAATAATATATTAATATGTATATAATAATATGAATATAATATAATATGTATAGTGTATACTGAATATACAAAAATATATTAAACATATAAACATACCGTATTAAACATATTAAAAATGGTATATCCCCCCTTGAAAAAATCCTTGATACGCTATACTGGTATAAACATTAAACACGCTACTGAATTTATTTTAGTTCAGCTCACTCGTTACAGTGTATACACATGCGTGATGCGTGTGGTGTGTTCTTTGTTCCAATAATACAACTATTTTTACCTTATAATTAGTGTTGGCTTAGGTAACTATAATAACTATTTTCTTCTGGTACGTATATGATTATAATAATTATGCATACTATATCTAGCTTACTATTTGTTTTATCCGTAAAAATATAACATTGAATTGCAATAGAAATGATAACAATTACACATGAGCTTCAACTTGAAATTCATTTTTTGTATAATGATTAATCATCAAATCTCTTTTCGTTTTATAACTATAACATAAATTGTATATTTGGTAGATATTACTATATTAGTATTGACGATGGACTACTATTGTATATTATTTGTACACTTTTAGTGTTTTATAATTATTATGTTGATTTCTATATTCCATATATTTTTTATGAATATTATCTTACCTAAACATAATATTATTTAATATATTTCTTTTAATTTTATTAACTGTGGTTGATTAGATTAGAAAAGTGATACATTTTCAACATATTGTTTATTTTGTTGATTGACATTTGACAATCATAAATAATATGATTGTTTAATTATTAAAACAACAACAATATAGGTTGTAGTGTTCAAGCACTCAAGCTTCCGTGATTACCTTATTTTTAATTACAACGAAATAACTAAAATAGTTCGGGGAAAAATATTTATTTTGGTTTAATCACAGTTATACAAAAATTGTGACTGTATTTTTGAAATTTTTAAGTGTTACGACTTATGAGTATGATTTGTGAGGAGTGTCTTATATTGAATTTTCTAGGTTTTTGATAAAAATGTCATCAACATCACTTACATAACTCCAAGGGCATCAGACGTCTTAAGCGTTTGAAATTATATAAATTAGTAGGTACTTGATTTAAGATTTTAGATTAAGGTAGGAGCAACTTCATTATAAGTGGCTCATCAACATTCAACGTGTAAAGTATATATAAATATATAATTCATATCTAGTAGGTATGTAAAATATATGTAATTTTTAAACATAATATTTATAAAGATCTTTTTGTCGTTTAAATAATAAAGTCTCAGGGTATGAAAAAAAAAACGACATAGCTAAATGGGAGGGGAAAATCCCCCACCCTCTCAAAACTTTTTACCAAGGTAATACAAAGCCAATGGGGGATCTGACCCCCTCGTCCCCGCCTTGTATACGCCCCTGCTGTAGCGGATTAGATATAGCACTTTGTATAAATCGGACATGGTTCAAAGTACTTCAAACTACTCTCTAAACTTTCCTAATATTTCTTAAAATAATAAACTTGAAAATTTGACAAAATCGGTGAAGTAGTTATCTAGTTCTAACCTACATATAAGCTACAAATACTCATTCAACTATCATGTTTGTTTTAAGATATAATTTCTTTATTCGAGGCCAATAAGCCATATACTATTTGATACATGTTTTTACATCATCGGCCCGAGTATAACCAATGGTCAATGGCAACCATTTAATAAAAAAAAAAATAAAAAAATGTCTACTGCATTTTACTATTACCATTATAATCTGATATTCATGTTAATTTCAAAATCCTTGTGTGATCACCTAAGTATTTTGATTTTAACAAAAAATATAACCTTTATATTAGAAACGGATTATGTAGCTAAGTAGCTTAGTAGCTTCCTATATGCTAAAGAAATTTTGAAACCAGTTCTTTAGTTTCAGAGATTACACAGCACTTACAAACAATTTTATCTCTTTATAATATTATAGTATAGAATTATAGATTGTGTTATTACTACATTATGCTTACATTATAAATCTGTATATTTGATACTCACGTCTTGATTCATAAATCATATATAATTATTATTAATTAATTTATGTATATTAATTTTATGTACTTATAGGGAAAAAAGTTAAGGCCACAGAAAAAAATAATACATGTGTGAAGAATAAATTAAAATCATGTCATGCCCAATAATTATAGCAATCTTAGTCTTGTGCGGATGCTCAACAATAATTTTTCCGGCCGATTCAGCACGAATCTTAGCAGTTGAGCTGACAGGAGGAAGAAGCCACTGGAATTTTATGAAATCGGTATTACAGTCTTTAATACAAAAAGGGCACAATTTGACCATTTTTTCTCCGTTTTCTGACATTGAGGGTTGTGATGTGAACTGTTCTTTGATAGATACGTCTAAGGATTATCCAACTACAGGTTCAATCAATATTGCTGTCGTCTTAAAAACACTTAGTTCGACCGTATCGCTTATATCCCAAAGCGTTAATATTACAAGAAATCGTTGTAACGATATGTACAATAACACCGACATAAATAAGATTTTAACGGTCAGAAATAATTCGGATTATGAGGTTTTACTTATCGAACCGATGGCCACTGAGTGTGCTTCACATATAGCAAGAATACTTCAAATTCCTGTAGTATACCTTATTCCATCGCCAATGTTAACGTTCGTAGAACCAATATTATTTGGACATACACCAAACCCTGCAGTTGTATCCCATATACTAAGTCAGCACGCAGTTCTCAGAAAATTTGTTCAGAGATGTATCAACTCTGTGCTATTGGCATACAGTTTGATCTCGAGAGAATACTACGAATGGATAATTAAAAAAGCTCATCCTCAGTCTTATGATTCGATCGAGGTTATCAAACCTTCACTTGTGTTTGTCAACTCGCATTACATTACTGAACCATCCAGACCTGTGCCACCAAATTTGATACCAATTGGTGGTATACATCTCAGTCAACCCAAAACTATACCTCAAGTAAGTTAATCATGTTATTCATATTAAACACAGGTGAATGAGGGTGTAATGGTTTTTTTTTATTAGATGACTTGTATTATACGTTTTTTTATCCACTAATCGATTCTTAGTAACGTATACTCTATACTTAATAAATATTAAACTTAAACACATCGATTGTACTTACATAATTGATAGGTACTTGAAAATATTATGTTATTGTCTTGGCTATACAAGTATAATAAATTATAGGTTAGTTATACACTTATTATTAGTAAGAAGTTATTGCTAGGCAGTGAATACATGTTATAAATAGCCAATAGGTAGGTACTCATATTCCATATTAAAAAGGTTGTTAAGGCATTTAATGACAATTTTCACTGAGATTTACTGTTAAATATTTATTTGTCTATTAAATTATGCACATACAGTCACAAAAGTGAGGAAACTGAGTAATTTTCTTAAAAAATCTATAGTTAGTTTTGCTCTTAAAGAATATTACTCTTTTCAAATGAAATAGTTTATACGTATGCATACCTATATGAAATAATTAAAATATAAAACTTTAATTGATCACTATTAGTAAATTTTTATTTTTGTTATTGCATAATGTAGCTCATTGTCATTTGATTAACCAGATTACGAGAATAAGTACGAATGTATTATAATTTTATAAAGAAACATAGATTCAGGAAAAAATTACTTTTAATTTAGAATATTATTTATTTCATAATATTTTGACTATAATCTGTCCGTATTGCTTATAGTGAAGATATTTTTTTCTATATCCTAAAACACTTATATTATTTAGTATTTACCATAATTACTAATCATTAGCCTTTGGTAAATATAGGATAAATTAATTTTAGTATTCAAAATGGTTTCAAAATGTGGATTCGAATAATGCCTTTCAAATAAATTCTTTGAACCCTATTAAGTAGTAGCAGTATTTTAGGAATTAAAATTAGTGTACATATTATAATATGAAAAACGATGTGATGCGACACCTTAAGTTTCCATCAGCTCTAGTTCTATAATATTTACTGTTATATTGATTACTACTCGAAAAGACCAAACCTATTTTTTTCTATTAATAAGTTTAAAATAAACATAAATATCTAAGTAGTATACATTTGTATGTTCACAGTCTCTTTTTTTTCACCTCGGTAATTTCACAACGTTCAAGGGAGGATGTCCCGCTTGAACACAATGATTTTACCGTGGCAAAAATCACGGAGAGATTTCACACTTGTTGTCCACCTATTTGCCGCTCACACAAAAATATTTACCGTATAGCATTTTGCAGGGAGATTTCACAATTTTTGTCCACGAATTCTCGAGTTACATAAAATATTTACCTTATTTTAAAATTACAAGGAGTTTGCACACTGAAAATCGGTTCTGCCGCTTACTCAAAAATATTTACCGTATACCATAGATTAAATATACTAGTATACTAGTATATTTAATCTATGCGTATACACACTAAATGTTTTTTACCCAACAAACCTTATTATTAAAATGAAATATTTAGTATATTCGATCATTGTAATCTAACAAACGTTAAAATATTTCTGAACTCGATAACTTCTCCATACTATAATTTGAATTTAGAATTTTTGAAAAATAATTTCACCTTATTATATAATAATTAATATGTATACATCGTTTCAAGAATCGTACTATGAAAAAAGTATTCGTAACTCGATATTGAGTCCTTATACTTTTCTAGCAAACTCACCAATTATAGTTATCGACACTTCAAAACAGAACGATTCATGTACAGCCTCAGCAGTGGATGTTCAATTAGAAATTGAAGCTTCAGATTCGCTTATAGGTGTAACTGCTTATTGATTATTAATTCATGAACGTATTGTAGAATATTATGTATCTTTTACTAGAGAAGTAAGAAAACTTGTGTAAATATATTTAAGAATTAATTTATAACAATAAAAAAATCTATTATTAAATAATTTGTGTTCTGTACTTTAAATAATTATTTCATTTTAATAATAAGGTTTGTTGGGAAAAAAACATTTAGTGTGTATACGGTAAATATTTTTGAGTAAGCGGCAGAACCGATTTTGAGTGTGCAAACTCCTTGTAACTTTAAAATAAGGTAAATATTTTGTGTAAGGCGAGAATTCATGGACAAAAATTGTGAAATCTCCCTGTAAAATGCTATACTGTAAATATTTTTGTGTGACGCGCAAATAGGTGGACAACGAGTGTGAAATCTCTCCGTGATTTTTGCCACGGTAAAATCATTGTGTTCAAGAGGGACATCCTCGCTTGATCGTTGTGAAATTACCTCGGTGAAAAAAAAAGAGACTGTGAACATACAAATGTATACTACCTACTTATCTATCAAAATAGATTTTTTTACAAGTGATCACAACACATTATCTACACATTATCTGGTTAGGAGACTACCTAGGATACTATAAATTAAAATTATTCATATACCAACCTTAGTTTTATAATAGTTGGTACACATAATGTAAATTAATTACCAGCTGTTAAATTATTATAGGAAGTATTAAGTATGGACTTGAATAAAATATGCTTAAATACGATTATATAGTATATTATGTTATATACAATATACGTTTGTGTATACACTATGTATTATAATATAATATAATACAGCATAAATAGAAACTTTGTATGATTAAAAATATGTACCTATGAACCTAGATAACATATATTTATGAGACAAAACTACGATTGTCAATAGAGTCCATACTAATTTTGTATGGGTATCGCGATTAGGCATTGTATTATATTTTAAGTGATCAATTAATTATCTTCAAAATATATGTAATTTGCTATAACCTCGAAAAACTACATTCCATGGTATATTAATTGTTTACTATGTAATTTTGCAACGAATCTAATTAACGAGTATAGCACTGGACTCTTTGAAGGAAGAAACATTGCAACATTGAAAGAAATAATTTTAAACAGTTATATTTTAGCTTATCTAATATTTAGTCTTTGCGAAGTAGCCGTAACAATGAGAACGTTGTTTCGTACGATGATGTTATCACTTTTTTGTATTCTTACCGTTTCGATGACATATACATCTACCAATGCACTGCAAATACTTGCAATAGAAAATGTTGCTGGTAAGAGTCATTGGAATTTTATGAGTGCAGTTCTCCGATCTTTGACGGACAACGGTCATAATGTTACCGTATTTACTCCATTTCCCGATGGTAATCGGGCCAACTACACAGAAGTCTACTTGGATTTACCATCGAAAGTCGAAATGGATATTGAAGAAACGTTAAACGTATTTGGGAAACCTACTGCGATAATACCTATACTCATGAACATGACTCGATACTTTTGTAATATTGCTTATGAGCAACGGGATATGCAAGAGATCTTAAACGGTGGTAAATCAAATTATGATATTATTTTCACTGAAGTAGTGGCATCGGAATGTGCGTCATATATAGCTTCCAAGCTAGAATTGCCACTGATATACGTAATTCCTTCACCAATGATCACCCACATCGAGCATACTGTATTCGGAGACGTATCAAATCCAGCAACAGTATCCCATCTGATGGCTCATAACGCGGTACCTAGAACATTTGCTCAACGATTTTTAAATGTCGTCCTTTTAGGTTTTAGTTTATTGGCGTTAAAATATAAAGAAATAGAACTGAAAAAAATTGATGTACAACCATATGATCTGGTACAACCTCTAAAACCGTCGTTAGTGTTCATGAACACACATTACATTACCGATGCACCGAGACCTATGCCAGCAAGTGTAATACAAATTGGAGGGATACATCTGAAAACACCAAGACGCATACCAAACGTGAGTAAATAAACCGGTATAGTAAAATTGTAGACAACTGTCAACCACAAGTTTATGTGTCATGTTAAACATCAAGCGTGTCATTTCAGTTTTTCGGTTATTAACATATTGGTGCACACTTTTATTCAGTACATTTTTAAATAATTAGGTATCACTGTATCAGTATTGAGGCCTAAAGTTATAGTTTATAGAAATTATCAGTATACACCTAGTATGTAATTATACGTGTACAATAGAACATGTTGTATGTATGTGATAGGATTTAAAATATAAACAACTAGGAATTTATTAGGGCCAGATTAAGGAAAAATGCATGCACCCCGGTATACCCATACAATTTGACAATGTCCATAACACAAAGTGCAGTTGTACAAATCAACCAAAATTAGAACAATAAAATATAAATACAGTCGAATGGCAACTTGATCATTAATTTGAACTGTTTAACAATTGATAGGTATACTTATTACTGATTAGTAGAGTTAGGTTGTTGATGACTTTTGCATTTTTTTCCCTTTTATTCTGTACAATGCTATCCTAGCTAAAAATTTGTTTCATGCTCTCTTGATGCAGAATACTCTAATTTTATTTTGCATTTTTTGCATTTTTAGCTATTAATGCATTATTTTTGTTTTTTAACGTCATTTTTCATCATTTTTAAGTCATTTTTTCATCTTTTAGGGCATTTTTTGTACTTTTTATACAATGTGGGGCATTTTTCACAAATTATAGATTTTATGGCAAATGTTACACCCAAGTTTGGAAACAAATTTAATTTATTTAAAATCTAACTTTGGATTTGGACTATTAGTAAAAAATAATTTTAATATTATTATTGTGGGGTTTTTGTTGTGATTAAATTTATCGCGTTCCGATAAGATTTACTCTTTGAGTGTTATATATTGATGAAACGAGTGCTCTTTCAGGGGGCGGTACTGGTTTGCGCACAAATACCAAAAAGACAACTTTTTTGGGCACAAAACTACCACTCGTTTGGGAACAGTTGAGTTGTAAACATGCACATGGTTTGCGCACAGTTACCTTTTGGCCTGACCTTTTAATACCCTCTTAATAAGTAAATTATTAAAGTACCTACACACATTTTCATTCTCACTTAACAGGCTTAGGACTGTCTATGAATATATTCATATTTGTGGTTAAAAATGCATGTTAATACTTGCTTATTATTAATAATAATTGTTAATAAATTATGTTAAAAATGCATATAATATAATGTTTGTGTAAAATGTGTTAATTTTAATTTTGAGATATATCAATTTAGAAAAACTACTTATATAAAAAAATTATTTTGGCGCAAATGATATGTCATTTTTAACAGTTAACAGTTAAGTTAATGAAAAGCCAAAAGTAACTAGTTAATGCCCAGCCTTACATTTTTGCACCTTTGGCGCTTATGTCATATAGCCTTATTTTCGTGTGCGCAAACCAGTTGTACATTTAGGATAACCGTGTGCGCAAATTAGTTCCGATTTTTCAGGTAAAAATTATAAAATGTGCGCTAACAAGTTGCAGCCCTTTCAGGCATACGCCGATCATACACGCTTATCGAGTATTATATTTATAAATGTATGGAATAAATCCGATAAACAAGATTAAATTAACATAGACATTAGACCTATTAATTGACGTGCTTATAATTGCAGTAAAAGGAACTATTATCAGTAGTATTTTTTGTTATTTATTTTTAAATATTGAAATTTATTTATAAATTATTTAAATGCTTCTACTATTACACCCATTATTATACTCATATCTCTAATAAAAATTATTATTTATAAATAAGTTTTTTCACTTACTTAATTAGTATTTTAGATAATTTTTAAGGTCATTTTTCGAAGTTTAGTGAAAGGCGTTTTTGCACTTTTTTTTAGGGCTTTTTGCATTTTTTTTAATGATTTTTGTGTGTTTTTTAGGTCATCAACATAGTAACTCTACTGATTAGTATCTTACAGATACCTACTAGTTGTCTTACGTCTTAAAACGGTTTTCAACCGTTTTGTTAATACACGAATACAATAATGGAGATTGATAAGAATATATTATTATCTATAACAATACAAACAAAACGATTTGTGTATAATTTAGGTAGATTTTCAATAACACTTAATACAAACACCTTAAAAAAAAAAAGGTGGGCAAGCGGGTGTCGCTCTGTTGTACAGTAGGTTACAAGTGGGTCACTGTATAATGGATGGTATTACATTTGAATTCAATGATATTATATCATTGTATAAGAAAAACGATTCTGAGCGGAGACGGTATATGTCCTTCTAGGTATAAGACATCTTATACACTCATCTATGGTATTAAAAATAATTTACCTATAATGAATTCCAAATTAATCATATCACAATATCCATTAGGTACTTATAACGCGTTATACACCAACAACAACCCTGATACTATCATAGATATATAGTAGTATACTTTAGAAGTTTCAATAGTACCCACGAAAAATATTATACAATCACAACAAAATAACTAAAATAGTTATTCCAGGTTTTTTATTATGTAATTTCGTCAAAATTTGAATTTAAAATGTCTGTAAAAAATAATTGTGTTCAGAAATTTTTAAATTTTTTGGTTACTGTATTTACTATTTATGAGAACCTTTGTTTTAAATTCGCAATCCTTAGTTATAAAAACTGAACATTTTATAATTTATTAATTCTAATGATTGATAATTGTCGAGATTTTGATATATTTTGTCAAAATTCGATCTTTAAATGTTTATAAAAAAAATTGTGCCTATGTATGTTTAATATTTTTCAATTGCTTTTGTAACAATATACCAGGAGCCTTGTATTAAATTTTTACACTTTTTGGTCCAACAGATAAAACTTTATTGATATTCATAGAAAAAAAACTAAAAAAATTGAAAAATTAAAATGTCCGTTAACAGCTCAAAAAGAGTCAAAATATTTTCAAAATTGTACAGTGTATAGGAAATGCTAATATGAACATTCAGTGAAATTTTCATGTATCTACAGTTATTCGTTTTTGAATTACAACAAAATAAGGAAATCGCTACATGATAAATCGAGTGAATATCCAATGTTGTAAATATTTGAATTTCAAACGCTCATAAAAATTTAATTTGACTTTCCGGTAGAGATTTTTTTATTGATAAAGGTAGACAAACTTATGAGTAATCTTGTACTTATTACATTTTAAAACCTTAGATTTAAAAAGAAAAAATTTTACGAATTCTTAACTCAAAATAATTTGCTAATTTTCGTGATTTTTCCATATTATGTCAATTTATGAACTTTAAATGCTTAGAAAAAAAAAAACTGGACTAAGGATTTTTAATATTTTTCATCTGCCTTTGAAACAATATACTAGGAGGCTTCTATTAATTTTTCAAGCTTTTTCAGCCAACAAATAAAATTTTATTGATATCTTAAGAAAAAAAACTAAAAAAAATGTCCCTAAACAGTTCAAAATAAATCAAAATATTTTGAAAATGTTATAGTGTATAGAAAATGCAAATATAAACAACCAGTGAAAATGTTAAGTGTCTACGGTAATATTTGTATAGTTACACCAAAAACCAAATTCGATTTTGCGTAAAAATTCCCATTTTTCCTTAATTTTTCTTTTGTTAATCTTGTAGTTTGTGAAAACACTGAAAACTATTGGGAATTTCAAATTTTATATTCGTTTTTAATCCAGCTGTGTTAAAATAGGAATACAATATTTAACGACAAGTTACTACTTCTTTTAGTAAATATTTACTTTTTATTAAAAAATAATGCGTTGGAAATTTGATACAACCAGTTTTTAGTATGTATTAATGCATTATGTTATAAAGAAACTTACAAGAACAAAAATTAATTTAAATTTGGTATATTATTTTTGTTTAAAGAAATGTATTGAAAATATTTATAATTTGTCCATATTGATTATAGTGAATGTCATTTTTTCATTTTCCTAAAACACTATTATAACATCTATTACAATTTTCCATATAGACCGTTGTCTAATTTTCTAGTGCCAATCAAAATTAAAAAAAAATTATAAAAACCAATTAGTCAGTTGTGTTGATTTTAATTTTTAAGCAATACATTTATAATATAGTAATAGACTTACCAGCTATAGGTCAATGTTTATAGGCAATTTTTGCTGTTATGAGACATAATTTTTAATATATTATATGGTATTAAGCTAATTAGAATCTGGGCCTTATAATAATTACTAACTATTTATTCATGAATACAATATCCACATTCTCAAAGTAATATAGTGATTATCATTAAGTGCTGTAGAAAGAATAACTAATATAAGTGGTGGAATAAAGTGATTTAATAGATATGTTTAAATGTTTAATGTTTACGAAAACATGGTAATTTCCTGTTACATTTTTAATCTTGTAAATTATTTGCTCTTTGGCTTTAGATAACGTAATATTCTAATACATATACAGTTAATACTAATATACTTTTACTTAGTTGGAACTGTCTAATGTTTCAGATTACATTGAAATCGTATAGGTAACAAATAATAATGACAGCCTCCTATCATAATGTTATTATGGATAAGAAATTATATTAAAAAGTGGACAAAATTTTTTTTAATTTTAACTGCCATATGAATTTTAGTGTTTTAGTACAAAACTTTAATTAATCTGTTAAAAATCAGTGTTTAAATATTGCATATTAAATTATTTTTTACATTAATTTATTTATGTTTTTTTAACAAACAATCTTAATACTGACGTCCTGAGTAGTTAATATTTATTATTATGGATTATATTGTAAGATCGTTATATTTGTTGACCGTCTTTTTAATATTTTCAACGTTTCGTGAATCACGGATGCAACCGGTGGAAAGTGCAAACATTTTGGCAATAGAAACGATTGCGGGGAAAAGCCACTGGAACTTTTTTAGTTCGGTATTACGATCGTTGACGGATAAAGGGCATAATGTCACTGTGTTTACACCAATAACAGAAGGTAACCGTGAAAACTATACAGAAATCGATACTTCCGGTGATTTACCAAAGAAACGAGGGATAGGTTTGACGGATATGATGAAGGTTTTCGGCGATCCAATCAAGACTCTATGGTTCGGTCCAGGTATAGCGAGATCCTATTGCGATATTATTCACGGAAACGAACGATTGAAAGACATTTTGGAAGGCTTTGTTCATACCGATTTCGATGTGATCCTTATCGAACCCGTCTGGTTGGACTGCATGTCATATGTGGCCATGAAATTGAGTTTGCCTATGATATACGTAGTACCACAGTCGATGGTCACCTTTTTGGAGTATTCTTACCTTGGACATGTGCCTAATCCCGCGTCGGTTTCAAATTTTATGGCTGACCACGGTGTTCCTAAAACGTTCGTCCAAAGATTCTCAAATACTGCCTTGTTGTCGTACAGCTTATTGACATTCAGTTGCTTCGAGTTTCTACTTAAGTACAGAGAACCTAAACCGTACGACGTTTCGAGGCCTGTACAACCTTCCGTGATGTTTGTAAACAGTCATTATATTACTGAAGCTTCGAGATCTTTGTTTTCAAATTTTGTTTCTGTGGGCGGTATTCATTTGAACGCGGTGCAGAATATTCCAAATGTATATATAATATAATGATCATAATTAGGGCTTGGATTTTAAAGCATATGATTATTTTTTTACATATATATGAGATCGAAATCTAATTTTTATACAAAAATTCGTTTCATGTTATTCTGATTTATTTTTGCTTTTTTCGGCTTTTTTATATAAATACATTTTTGTTTTTTATTGCTTTTTTGCAATTATTTCAGCTGTGGCATTTTAATATGTTCACTATCCTATAAATAGGACTATAACTTAATTTTTCAGTAAAATTAATCAGTAACATCAGAATTTATTGTTAGGAAAGATTTTATTCGACAATGGAAGTAATAAAAAGTTATAAATTATTATTCTACATATTATTAACAATATTATTTAAAAAAAAATTATATATAATTAAAGAAAATTATGTTTTTATAGGTAGGTATTAGGTAATAATAATATTGATTCATGATATATTGTTATTATAAAATTGACCACTTTTTTTTATATTAATTTAAGGATATATTGGACTTCATTGAGAACTCACCACATGGAGTCATTTATTTTACGTTTGGCTCAGTCGTATCAATGTCAACTTTACCAGACCATATTCAAAACGCATTTAAAGAAGCTTTAGCACAAGTACCTCTGAGGGTATTATGGAAATACGAAGGAGAAATGAAAGATAAACCAATAAATGTAATGACAAGTAAATGGTTTCCTCAGCGTGATATACTCGGTAAGATATTTTTTATCAAAATATAATTATGACAATGTAGTAAATATAACTTTTACTGTCTAGCGCATCCAAATGTAAAACTATTCATTAGTCACGGAGGTATATCTGGTGTATATGAAGCTGTAGATGCAGGCGTCCCTGTTCTTGGATTCCCTCTCTTCTACGATCAACCTAGAAACATTGATAACTTAGTTGAAGCAGGAATGGGGATTTCTATGGATCTGTTAACTTTACAAAAAGATGAATTGTTAACAAATATTTTAGAACTCATTAATAATGAAAAGTATGTATTAGCACTTTAAAAAACATTAAATACCAAATTAATCATATTAACATAATATTACTTTATTATAGATACATGAAAAATGCTAAAATCGTTTCTGATAGATTTAAAGACCGACCGATGTCACCATCAGAATCAGTTGTTTACTGGACAGAGTACGTAATTCGTCATAAAGGAGCACCACATTTAAAATCTCAAGCACTTAATTTAACGTGGTATCAATACTTTCTATTGGATGTTATTTTTGTTATATTCATTTTTATTTCCTTTGTTATTTTCATTACTTACAAACTTTTTAAAACTATTTATTACTACTTTCTAAAATATTCACAAACCATCAAACCAAAGTTAGAATAATTTAAGTGCTACCATAATATTATTAAACTATTCAAGTATACAATAAATTGAATAAACTACATTATCACATTGATAGCTATAAAATAATAAATAAGCCATCTTATTACCTACATAAAAAGTTACGTTTTATTGTATATACATGTTGAAATCCTAAATAATATATTCATTTTTATCGTTATCGCCATCAACTTACAGTATATTAGTTAATGTCAATTGAGAATTATATTTAATAATAATTACGATACTTAGATATATGAATATATTGCATTTGCATTATTATTATTGCATACCTAATTTTAATAAACTATATCGTGTAAGCAGAGTACCTGAGTACATGTTACCTTTGTGTTTTACAATATTTATTGTTTTCATATTTATAGGTACCTACCTACTAATTAATTGTTTGAATACAAGGAGTTTTATTTTCTCTAAGGTTATGGAGGTCGCTCATATATTGTTTGTCAAAAGTGGCTTCATGTGGTGAAAATTTAACGTACATTACCCTGGCCCCCCTCATTGAACTTTTTACAAAAAAAACTAAGTCTCGAATTAGCACGCCATTAGCATGCATTTGCACGACTATTTTTAGAATTTGCACGACTATTTTTAGAATTTGCACGACATTTTTTTACAAGTTATTCATAAAAAAAACTATGGGGGGGCTGGCGTAACATTACCCCAGCCCCCCACAAGTGAAATAATCACTTTTTTACAAATTTTTTTTTTACCAATCATTAGCACATCATTAGCATGCATTTGCACGACTGTCGCAGAACGCGAAACTTTACTATTTTAAACTTTTACGCTTTCCCCCTTCGCATATGAAATAAACCTTTTTCACAGTTTTTTTTTTTTACTACACATGGTATTTGTTATAGTACTGTTTCTAATTTTGTCTCATTAAAAAACTCATAAGTAAAATGGACGCATAGGAATCTTGTAAAGTACTTGAGTTAACTGTAAAAGTATTCAACTACCTACTTTTTAAGTAACCAACTTTTGAAAAAAGGACTTGAAAAAATTATGTACCTACTGTTGTATAATTTAACTACGAATTGGTGTTAGGCATTGACATTCATTGTCATTTTAAATTTTAAATGAGTGATTTTTAGTTTTCACCAATACCATTCTTCGAGGTAAGTATTTTTACACATAATATATTAATATCATAATCAATACTTTTGTCGGTATCTTATAATTTGACAATAATTTATAATGCTTTCAGTTTAATCGTTGTATACGTCTTGTGACTTGCCACCCCATTTTAGTTATCAGAGATTGATCCACAATAACTGTCTTGTGCTGCCACTGTTTATATTTATATATTAATATAATAATTTATTATAATATATTATATTGATTATGTCGAGTTGCTGGAATAACGCATCCATTGTGATGGGTATTCTTAATGTTTTTTTTTCGTATTTTATTGGTATTATAATATTATGTTCTTAATGCTTTACCTACGTTTTAATGTTTGTTTTAACGTCCAAAGAGTAGTGTTTAATTAACCACGTTTTCTGATTTCAGTATACCTATATATACCTAAGTTCTAGCCCCCTATAAAGTAAAAGTTTAACGTATAGGGCACACGCCCGAACAACACATAATTGAGTGCAAACATTATTTGCTATCCTTCGCTTATGTAAGTTTCTATACCCGATGTTCGTGAGCGAATTACTAATAAATTATTGTGTACCCTTAGAAACCGCGGATATTATTCACATTAAGCATAATTAAATTGCCAAATGTTTCATGCACGGGAACTGCAAGAAAGGAGGCAAGAATGACGACTATAATAATATAATATCAGTAGAGCCATTGCCCGCGGCAGACTCGAACAATAATTACAAAATTTGAAATGTAATATACCGTACAGGTACAGGTAATAAAAGTCAACTACGAGAAACTTCTTACATAATTAATCAGCGTTTAAAAAATAAAAAAAGGTGGTCAAGTGGGTGTCGCTCTGCTGTACAGTAGGTTACAAGTGGGTCACTGTATAATGGATGGTATTACATTTGAATTCAATGATATTATATCATTGTATAAAAAAACGATTCTGAGCGGAGACGGTATGTCATTCTAGGTATAAGACATCTTATACACTCATCTATGGTATTAAAAAAATTTACCTATAATGAATTCCAAATTAATCATATCACAATATCCATTAGGTACTTACGCGTTATACATCAACAATGAACTATGTATGAGAACCATTGTTTTAAATTTGCAATCCTTAGCTATAAAAACTGAACATTTTATAATTTATTAATTACAATTTATTGATAATTTTCGAGATTTTGATAAATTTTGTCAAAATTCGATCTTTAAATGCTTATAAAAAAAAGTGCCAATGTATTTTTAATATTTTTCAATTGCTATTTTAATAATATTATATCAGGAGCCTTGTATTAAATTTTTACACTTTTTGGCCCAACAGATAAAACTTTATTGATATTTATAGAAAAAAAAAAACTGAAAAAATTGAAAAATGAAAATGTCCGTTAACAGCTCAAAAAGAGTCAAAATATTTTCAAAATAGTATGGTGTATAGGAAATGCTAATATAAACATTCAGTGAAATTTCCATGTATCTACAGTTATTCGTTTTGGAATTACAACAAAATAAGGAAATCGCTACATGAGAAATCGAGTGAATATCCAATGTTGTAAAAATTTGATTTAAAACGCTCATAAAAATTTTGACTTTCTTGTAGAAATTTTTTTTTTGATAAAGGTAGACAAACTTATGAGGAATCTTGTATTACATTTTAAAACCTTAGATTTAAAAATAAAAATTTTTACGAATTCTTAACTCAAAATAATTTGCTAATTTTTGTATTTTTTCTATATTTTGTCAATTTATGAACTTTTAATGCTTATAAAAAAAAACTGTGATTAAGGATTTTTAATATTTTTTATCTGCCTTAGTTAACCTAACCTAACCTAAGTGAGAGTTCGATACAAGAAGGATCGGCGTTAAATCCTTTGTACTTACCAGCATTGGCCCCTTATATTATTAAAAGTATGAAACTATTACCCTTATGGTCGGGCATCATGATTTCGATATTCGGTTATGGTGATGACTGATGATATATCGACTTCAGCAGCAGTTGAATCAAGTTTTAAGAAGCTTAAAACGGTAACATTTAAACATATTTCAATTCCAACTGATCTTGAAAATTTTTTGGAAAATCACATTAAATCGCTAAAAGGAGCTGCTTTATTACGGTCGTCTTGCAACAATATAGCTATTTCTTCCGATCTAGGACAAATCGCCGTCGCCGTTTCGCCGTTGCCATTTCGCCGCGGCCACTTCGCCGTAAAATCATTTCGCCGTCGCTGTTTCGACGTGAGGCCACTTCGGCGTTAAAAAAAATTTGGAGTATTTTACTTATTAATTATTATTATTTATTATACACATTTTCACATTATAGTATTATACACATTCCAATATTCAATAAAAATAAAAAATATTTTTATTTTTCGTCAATAATATTTAATAATAATAAGCTTTTATTGACTATTGTAATATGGGCCCTAAATAGTTTATCATTTTCCGATATCTGAAGGTTTAGATGTGCTGCAGAGTTTGTGTGTATGAGATTTATCATAGCTTATAATCGCGTCCAGCGATAAACGAAAATAGGTAGAATTAAGATAGTAATAAAATAACATCCAACAGATATTTAGCTCCCTCTGCACCTCAAGATTTAATTTCTCTAATAATTCCAGAAGCGTACACAATTTATTCACCATCTGAAGGTGTGAATGAGAAATTTTTACTCGATGATAGTGGGCCAGGTCTAGATAGAATTTTAATTTTTGGTAGATTAAGCAGTTTAGATATTTTAGAACGATCAAATATATGGTTTTGTGACGGAACATTTAAGATTGCACCTCCTCTTTTTGCTCAAGTTTACGTAATACTGGCTAAAGATATTGGAGGTGTACTTATTTTGTCAATTTTTGAACTTTAAATGCTTATAAAAAAAAACTGTGACTAACGATTTTTAATATTTTTCATTTGCCTTTGAAACAATATACTAGGAGCATTCTATTAAATTTTCAAGTTTTTTTAACTAACAAATAAAATTTTATTGATATTTCTAGAAAAAAAACTAAAAAAAAAAGAAAAATGAAAATGTCCCTAAACTGTTCAAAATAAATCAAAATATTTTGAAAATGTTATCGTGTATAGAAAATGCAAATATAAACAACCAGTGAAAAATTCATGTATCTACGGTCATTTGTTTTTAAGTTATACCAAAAACCAAATTCAATTTTCTGAAAAATCGATTTTGCGTAAAAATTCCCGTTTTTCCTTAATTTTTCTTTTGTTTTTCTTGGCGCTTTTGAAAATTACTGGGAATCTTAAATTTTGACCTCCCAATGCACCAGCGATATTCACTTTCCAATCGAACAAGATACTGAAGTCGAAAATCGAAGCATTATTTCGACTACTTATCGTGTACAGACACAAAAATAAAAAATAAAAAAAAATATATAAAAACACACATCATTGTAAAATCAATACATTCATCGTTCCGCTCAGAATCTAAAATGTGTATTTTGTTAATTATTTTTAACGGCGAAGTGGCCTCACGTCGAAACAGCGACGGCGAAATGGTTTTACGGCGAAGTTGCGACGGCGAAATGGCAACGGCGAAAAGGCGACGGCGATTTGTCCGTGTTCGTATTTCTTCATTGCCTGAATCATGTGAAGCGATTGATGATAGCCATAGTTTATTATGGCTATCAATTATTATATTATAGCTATCTTAACAATTATTTCAAATAATTTTAATGAAAATGATAACGATGTGTACATTGAAAATCGTACGAAATCTCCTCCTTATGATGCCTTATAATTTATATGTTTTACAAAGGCCAATTATTAATGATAATAATAATGTAGAATTACAGCTAGAATCTGATGATAATCTACAAATACAATTGTTGCAGTTTATTAAAATACCACCTGTAATTTTACGACTGAGGAAAGTAGAGCAGTTGAAAGCTGGAACCGAAAAAGCAAAATGCAAAGAAAAAATAACTCTTATCTTAATCCAAACCCGCACTTACGGCATCTAAATATAAGTACTGCAAAACATGAACAAATCTTACCAATTTTGAAAAATGGTTCAAGGTTTGCTGAATTAAAAAGCTGCAAATCAAGGGAAGGCAAATTAATTTTGAGCAATACTTATGCTTTTGATGCTTTAACGGCGTTATTGATGGTTTGTTTCTTATTATTGATAAATGATAAATATAAAATATAATATTAATTAGTCTATAAATTATACATTATAATATACTCTATTAGTCTATTCTATACAAGGAATATAATACAAATATATAAAGATAATTTAATTTACAAATGGTTCATTAAATAAAGTTTTTATTATATTGAAATTACAACTTCAAAAATGAAAGTTATTTGTGTAGATAATACAACATTTATTTTAAACTGAGAACAAATTAATATTATTTGAGAAAATACACTTTTTTTAAAATATATTATATAATATTATGTTTAAGTAATACTAATAACATAAAACTAAATATATAAGTTCATCTTTCAGTTTTAGAATTTGTATGGTAACATATTATTTAATTATTTAAGGGCAATTTAAAAAAGTTTGAAGAAACGCCCAAAAGTTCAAATATCTACAAATAACATAATATTATGTCATATTTGGTTATATAAAATATATACTTATTCCTTTTCACTAATTGTATTTCTCATTTGTTAGGTTTCTTATTGTGATAGCAACAAATTTTCAACAATGCATAATAAAATGTTTAAACATGTAGAGGTATTGAATTTCATTTCTGATATTCTAAAACATGGAGTATCAAAATCTACATATATTAAAAGAGCGGATATTATAATGACATTAATGAGTCCTGATGTTCAACCATTGGAATATGGTAACTCCTTGGTGACATGTGATGCGACGATAAGCCACTTTTTGTTTTATTGTGACTTGAAAATTGTTCTAAAACATGGTATAGAAGAAAACATTACCGACAAATAATGACGAGTGATGACAATATAGAATAATATTATTGTGGCCATGTCTGAGAATTTATGTTATAAATAACATTATGGTACACGATAAAGGTCGAACCACTTATTGTGCGGTTATGCCTATAATTATATTATTGTACAACTGTCAAAACACTCATATTGTCGAAAAGTGATTTCTAAGTACAGATACCTGTTACAAGATTTGTTCAGATTAGAATATTACAACTCAAGTCAATATTTTATTATATTGTAAAAATTGACTTATACACTCGACAATACGAAAAAAGCAACAATAGTTTTTTGTGTTCACAAATTTTTTTTTTTATTTATCGAACAAAAACAATATGACATTTTTAATATAATTTCAAAAACGGAAACAATTTTGGAAATGGTTGCCGTTATATTATACAATTTTGTATGTTCAAAAAAAAGTTAGAACAAAAAAGAAAAAGCCGAAATTTATAAAGTCAATATTATTCGAGATAGGTAAAGAAAATTTAAATGGAAAAAAAAAATACGACGGACAGGAGACACAATTAACTAGGAGGGGAGGATACGGAATGGCGATTTGATGCGGATATGCAATGATGTGGCCACTGGTCACCTCTGCACGTCCCCACGACTGGTCCCCCAGGTTGACGAGTGTCACGGGCGCGTTTGCTCGGACGCTTGACGACTTTGCCCAGCTGGCGAGGCCAGACCGAGACGGCCACGGGAGCGACTACGGTTGACGGCGACGAGCGGCGGCTATAGGGCGCGATGTCGTGCGCGTCGACGGTTGTGGACGGCGACGACTCTGCGACGGACGGCGAAGACCAATAGACACGCGGAGAGAGTGAACAGAGATTTTGTGCTGCGGAACAGTTTGCGACGCGGCCGATGTGGGATTGCCGCGGGACGAAAAGGCGAGAGTCGTCGGATCCTTGACTCCCGGTAATTTTTGTCCTGGCGTCGTCCCTTCACTCTTCAGCCGCGTCTTCGTCCAATGACCGCCACCGGACCTAACTAGCCTGAGTTCCCTCGGGTCCGGCGCCGCTCACGTCCGTGTTCCTAATACATAATATAATCTCTACACCACTGACTCACCCCGTGCCAAAGTCTCCGCCGTTGCCGTCGAAGCGAGTCGCCATCGCCGTCATCGTCATCGTTGGTACCGTCGGGGCGGAATCGTTGCCCGTGTCCGTACCTATGCTATAGCCGCCGAGTCGTCGTCGTTGCAGTCGTCCGTCGCTCCGCGTGACCGTAACTGCAGCCGGGCGCTCGCCGAGCCGCCAGAGGGTCTCGCGCGTCAACTACGGCCGAGCGCGCTACGCCCGCGAACCCGTCGCGCAGGTGGTGGTCGGAGAACGTGCGCGGGTGACTTACCGACACGCACCTTCCGTGCTCTTTCCCGCATTCTCCTCTCCTTTGCGTCGCCGTCATCCTGTCCGTCGTCTTCGGCCCAAGTGGGCTGTGCTAATAGTATTAGCTCCGGGCGGTTTTACAGCCGCAGCAGTACAGCACGCGAAAAACGCGTTTTACACTTTCCCACGTCGACTTTCTACGTGGAGAAACGGGTTTTTCGCGTTCTACTGCAGGACCCTCCTTGCCGATTAGCTCACTGTCGATCACAGCTATTTCCTTGGCCGGTTGCTCAATGTCTGCACATAATACGTCTTCTACGGCTGTAGGCATCACTATGTCTTCTGCAGCTGCAGGCATCACTACGTCGTCGACCGTCGTGAGGTCCGCCCTCGGAAGTCGGATTTGGGTCGACAGTCCCCAACTCCGAGGACGGTGCGTCGCCACCCGACTGCGATTCCTCCTGAACTGCTGATGATTTGGTCGAGCCGTCGTTTTCTTGGACAGTGTAGCCGAGTGGTACTGTCTCGGGGGTCGGAGCTGTAGGCTCAGACTCTGCGAGAGACAGCGCATCGCCACTCGGCAATTCACTGTGCAAGACAATTGACTCATCAAAATGTGCTGCGTTCTCGTCGTCGTCCTTTCCGGTTGCGCCTTCTAGTGGAGCGTCGTCCGGAATCGAAGCGGTTTCTTCTGGCTCTGGCCCTGGGGACTGCACGTCACCACTAGAAGTCGTATCCATACCAATGGAAGATGGAAGATCTGTTACTAATCGTATGAGGCTTTCGTCGTCGCTCTCATGAAGATAAACGCCTTCCATTACACCGATTACAATGCTGTGTATAAATTCGAGTAATGCGGCCTGTACCTCGTTGCTGTTATTGTTGACAGCCATTTTTTATTTGCACGTAGATAGGTATATGTGTCAGTTGTAATTGAGAATTGCTAGTGAGCTAAATACAAGTCTCCCAACATAGAGACCGATCAATTCTAAAATCTCCCAGGCGACGACTTGTATCTATATATTGTTATATATAGCCAGATAGTACGTTCATCGTTCATCGGCTCACAGCATTACCTTTTCGAGCCCGTTAATTTTTCTAAAGACTATTATTATTATTATCATTATTATTGATATAGTATAAGTAGGTACCTAATATTCTGGTATTACGATTTGTATTACTTTGTGACTCGATGTATACTAAAAAGGCTTAGTCGCCCAGAATCTTAAAGTTAATTTGTTTGTTAAGTTAAATAATATATAACTGATAATATTACATTTGTGTCACTTTTTTGACTTAATCCTAATTGAATATTTTACACTTTTTGTGTATTATTCATGACATTTAAAAAAAATATAAACAATATATCTTCAAGGCCGCAGTTGGAACAAATTTTCGTGAGGGGTTTAAAACTAAATTATATATTTTCATGATATAAAAACCAACTAAAAAAGAAATTTATATAATATAATAATTATCCAAATAATGTTTTTTATAGATAACCTACCTACATGTGTGGTAAAATGTGTATTTTAAATTAAATATTTTTATAGTATAAAGTCTAATAGTTTTTTTGCGAAACAATCGTCATCTAGATTAATTTAAATTTGTGTATGTAAACATTGTAAACTACTATACACTCAAAAGAGCTAAACGTGTAAAGGCCCTGTCACAGTATCACACACGCATCCGATCCGTCAGGGCATCCGTGAACTAGGAAATACGAACTTATTGTTTTTCAATGGATATTTTATTCATACTCATCCGAGCTGAATCCGGTCTGAGTTTTCTGAGATCACTCCGATGAACTTGATCTGAAGAGTTTCGTTAATAGTTTTATTTAATCTTTTCACGGTAGAAGATATACCTACGTCCTGCTGATGATGTCGTAACTGGTAATGTATCTCATAGTTTCAAAAGAAAATATATAATTGAAAAAAATTCATAATTTAAAATTGAGAAGTTGACTTCTCCCAACTAGCACTTTGCTTTAGAAACTTAAAAATTTCACATATAGATATTTTGCTCGGAAATGTTCAGAATTCGCATATAGGTACCCTTGGCGTTTTACCAGAAGTCAGAAATCATAATTTTTTAGTGTAAGTATGTATTATCGTCATTTTAGAACTACCACTGAAAACCAAGGATAGGTATATGCAGATTCTGAGTATCCTTCCAAGTAAAATTTAGCAAATTAATTGCACAATATCTTTGCAGTTTTTAAGTTTCCTGGTCAAAGAGGGAGGAGGGAAACTTTACAGATATATTGTGACCGATATCTAATCTGCAGAACAAAAATTAATTTCAATTTTAATTCGTATTAAAAAATCTATAGTTCTACTGGCAAAAAACCATAACAGTTTGTAAATTTAACAAACATGTTGTTACTTGTTAGTCTTATAATAAAAATGAACTACCCAAAAGTACTTATACAATATGTAAAGTATAATATTCAATAGAACGTCAGGGCGACGAAACAGTTTATGTAGGTATACTAGGTACCTTATTCTTGTATTTGTTGTCTACTGACTATATACTGGTTAGGTCGGATAAGACTTCAGAGGTACCTTGTATGTGATAAGTAATAGTTAGATAAATCCCAGTCCGGTGATCTGATGTCTGGCAACGATTACAAAATAGTCACTATTATTTTGTTGCATTTACCTATTTTAACACATTTTTCTGGCCATCGATTATGCCGCTTATTTATTATATTA